GCAAACACGAGGAGAAATCTGGCTTCATTTAGTCGGCTGCTTCCCTGCTGGCTGCATCCGAGGAACAAATGTCTTCTGCATCATCGTGTCTCGAGGACTTAACGCTCAATTCATCGGGGACCTCTTGGAATGAAAAGCCTCTCAGCACTTCACAATTATTTTACAGATCAGCGCACAGTAACTCTTGCAGGTAATTTCAGCCTCAGCCTGGATCTGTGAGCACAAACAGGTGGGAACTTTATTTTGCGCCATGGGTGAAGGTGAGAATATTCCAACATTTTTCACATTTATTGAATCAGATGGTTTAGTGGATGTGTTCATTTACATTTTTAAAAGTGAACATTATATTGCATTTGCTGGGCTTCAAATGTTCTAAGAGACATTGGGTTGATTCTGTTTTCACATCCTGTTCTTTCCTTTTGGTTTTATACAAAATAATTATAACTCACACATGAAACCTATAAAAAATAGGAGGCTATCCAAATATTGCAAATAATTAAATAATTACAATAAAAATCGTCAGTTCCCTAAAGTTGTAGTAGGAAGAAAAAAAAAAAAAAAATCAAGTGGCTACCTATAAATGTTGAGCCTATGGGCTGTTTCTCCTCCCTTTGGGTTGTTCAGTGGGCTGCATAGCAGAGCCCGTGCTGAATTTCAGCTTTTAAAACATATTTATAGATATGCAAATTACGTCAAAAGAAGCACAATTGAAAAAAGATGCAGTAGTGCTTCAAAGCTACATACTCTAAAGCTAAACAAGATTAGTAAAATTGAATCATTTCAGAAGCTGTGGGCAGAATGTAAACTGGCTGGTGTTCTAATCCTGCAGGGCAGGTGACCAGCTCAGCATGTGTACAAACACACTGTATGAAGAACAAACAGGAGGAGAGGCAGCCACTGTACATGGGCTCATTTGAATGAAATAATACCTTTTCCTACCTGAGAATGAATATGTTTACCAGCTCTGCCTCAGATGTCCTCAGAAGCCTTCAGGCCACAAATACTATTCCCATTTTGGCCTAATTTCCATCCTGGCATTCATGTGTCACATGTTTGTCATAGGTTTGCTTTCCTCCATTTTTTTTTCTTGTATGCTTTCTTTTTGTGTGAGTGTGTGTGTGGGGGATTTAAAAGTTAATGTATTTATTAATTTATTTGCACATTTGTTTTAAACAAGTACAGTAGTCCCTGGCTACTCCACGGTTCGTTTTTTGTGGATTTGCTCTATCGTGCTATTTTCAAAAATTGGACATGATACACAATGGCTGATTGATGGATGAGTTGCACGATCTGCATGGATTTTTTTTTTTAATTAAATTATTTAAAATTATTTAGCACCTATGTGCAGCCCACAGCTGCTTGAGAAGCTTCCTTGCAGCTAATCAGCTGATCTCCACTCTGCACTAGATCAGCTGATCTCCACTCTGCACTAGATCAGCTGATCTCCACTCTGCACTAGATCAGCTGATCTCCATGCAGAATAAAGAAGTGGATGTGGCTGACAGTGCAGCTGGAGACAGAGAGCTGAAATCATGATGTTTTGTGCTTTTTTAGAGCATTTAGAGCTTAGAAACATTGTTTAGAATATTGCAAGTGTGGGAAGGGCTTGAAATCTCTCTCT